TTTTACCATGTCGATTTTTGGGATATATGAACCAATCCAAAAGATTGTGATGCCTTCCTTATTAATATACGTAACTGAAAATAAATAAATATAATATTTATTGAAACACATATTGATATTAAGATAGTGGTTTGAATTTTAGATATTTAGATTGTTTGTCAGAAATTTACATAGTTGTTTTTGCTACTTTACGTTTTCTGTGTTAACTAAATTTCTAAAATATGTTTAAATGCCCTATAAGTTATTTTGGGCATTTATTTGTTTACTATTTTCGTTGCATTTCATTTTCCCTAATGTTTTATGAATTATTTCAGTTTTCTTTTTAATGTTTCAATTTTGTATAGACTTTTTATGCATATTTTTAAGTAGGCTTATTGTAGGTATACACTGTCTATGTGTGTAGATGACTACTGGTGCCTCCTTATTTAATAGATTATTCATAATTTGTTTATCATTTTCAAATATTCCCGAATATTACATCATGATCCCTATTCCCTCAGCACACGGGCGTTCTTTCTAAGCTTTCTTTGATCTAATGATATCTTCTGTTCTTTAATTGAAATGTGCATTGCTAACAGCGGAGCTATCTCAGCTGATAGGCTGCTTGTTTAATGATATCTTCTGTTCTTTAATTGCTATGTGCATTGCTAACAGCATAGCTATCTCAGCCGACAGGCTGCTTGTTTAGCTCCGCTGTCGACGAAGTCGAGAGGAGCTTATAGTATTAATGATTGTCAGTCCGTCGCCAACCAACATTTTCTACTTCTTCTTAAAAACCACAAACTGTATAGCTGTAATTCGAGGAAGGTACCTTGGGTGGTTCTCTCTCAAATTTATTCATTTTGTGTGGATATGTTCAATTGTCTTATTTATAGCGAATATTTTTGTCATTTTTGGTCAAAAAGGCTATTTTCGACTTCTTCTTGAAAACCGCTCGCACAAATGCTTTGAAACCAATAGTTCAATAGTTTTGATATTACATATATAGGTACTACATGTAGACTCTCTCAGATTTGTTCATTTTGTGATGATATCTCCAATTCTCCAATTTTGATGAATATTTTTGTCATTTTTGGTAAAAAGTGATATTTTCGACTTCTTGTTAAAAACCACAAGTCTAATTGCTTTGATATTATATATGCTACATAGGTACTACAGGTAGATTTCTCTCAGATTTGTTCATTTCGTGATGATTTTGTTCTTCAATTATCTAATTTTAATGAATATTTTTGATAAAAAGTTATATTTTCAATTTTTTTTTTTCAAAACAGCAAGTCTGATTGCTTTAATGCTATACATATTGTTCATTTTCTAATGATATTGTCAGTTCTTTAATTGAAATGTGCATTGGTAACAGTGGAGCTATCTCAGCCGACAGGCTGCTAGTTTTACTTACTGATAGAAAGCAAATTATCTGACTGGAGCCAGTCTAGTAGTGAATCTGTAGTACTGGTAGTAGATGTAATATAAGGGTTGGAAGTTGATGCACTAACACTGTTAGTATAGTTTTCACCCAGTCTAGTAGTGAATCTGTAGTACTGGTAGTAGATGTAATATAAGGGTTGGAAGTTGATGCACTAACACTGTTAGTATAGTTTCCACACACACATACACACACACTTTTAGCAATTCTTCTTTTCCTTTCATTTTTATTGGCAGATGAATGGACCAGATATTGCTGATAACACAACCATTCCCAGTACCCCTGCAGATAAAAAGGTGGGAGATACCTAGATAGAATACTACCACTACACTACCACATTTACCAAGATATTTTCTCTATTTCAAATTGATACCTTCCAAAAATGACATAAATTTTACAGCTCATTCATGAATATTTTATATGACATTGGCTGTACACTGTCTTATGTAGATCAACATTTCTAATCAGAATTTTTAACTGTAAGATATTTGCAATTCATCAGCTTATATGTTTTGAAATTTTGGACACATGGCCCATTTCCATAACAATAGAATTTTGGGAGCATATCTTCAGTTGCATATGAATGACTTGTATTGATTTTTTGTAAGTTTGAGTATTGTTAAACTCCTGTGCTCAAAAATGCTTAGGATGGACACTGTTGAGTTAGTGTATTGATACTTATAGCAATAATAAGTTTTCTCATTTGGTATATACCCCCACAAAAACCTGTATTTAATGAAAAACAATTAGAAATGGCACACTTCATGCACTGTCGAACAAAGGTGATGATACTTGATATGTAATTTCCAGCTGTGTTCCATAATATATATGTATATTGGTGTTTTCACAGAGGCTTTCCAGTGTGGAATTACCTGATCTGCAGTCGCCCACTCAGGCAATAACCAGCAATCCAATCAGTGTAGTGAAAAAATCTATACGACTTAAACTGAAGTGATTGCGAGTAAGTACACAGAAGAAGGTGAGCCCATATCAAAACAATATACAGATGCATGTCAGGCAGGCAGGCAGGCAGGCAGGCTAAGCGTTCTCTTGTATCATAAATCTCTATTTTTATCACATCTGAAGAATATTGCTGATAATAATTCATGAGAAGTCACTTTATGAAAAATTAAACCGATTGTATGGTAACTATTGTAAGGACACATATAGCCAAGTGTAACACAATCCAGCGACGTGATGAAAAACTGATGCATGGTAATGTTCAGCATCTGTTATGTTTGCAGCTCCAGTTAGAAAAAAAGTCAGTTGTAAATTTCTAACTCGTAGTTCCACTGTCTTCACTGTCAGATGTCAAATGAATTATACCAATGATTCCTATGAAGATTCTGATTATCTCGTTGCAGTTATTTTTTCATGGTTTTTTTTTTTTTTTTATTTGTATCTCCTTTTGTTGAATGTTTAGCAAGTTTAGCTCATAAGTGTCATCCCAAATTTTGTAGTTTTATCAATGTATACACGAACAATATGTCCAATTCTCGTTGTTTTGCGACTTTTGGGGGCTAATAATTGATAATGACACAGCCCAAGCAACGATTTTAATGTAAAATTAGTTTCTGCAATTAGGAAATTCCATCCGCTTTGTGAACTGACCTTTACAGAATGCTGAGCTTGTTACTAAGTTTTGATAACGTTATTTCTTCTTTTCCTGAAGGCATAGTTTTCATTTCATATATAAATACATTTGAGTATTAGTTTTGGTACTGCCCCCAAATAAATAGTGCCATGTATGTTTTATTTTATTATTGTCTCTTTGTTGCTAGTTCTAGTGTTTTATTAAAATGTTAATGATTGTAAGTATTTTAATGAACTAGAATTTTATCACACTCACAAATGTAAAAAAAACCTGAGTAATTTGGCATGCTTTGTTGACTGTTATATGCTTGTTCATCATTTTCAATCATTCCTGTCTTGTTAATTAGTTGAAAAATGGTCATGGAAAAACTGTCCTGTTTCATTTTATCAGAAGTTCTGCAGTCTCGTATAACATTTGTATGATGTAATTGTTTGGACTATTAAAATAAAGCAATATATATATTTTGTTTTTAGCCTTTGTTTGAATCACGCTCTTGTAGTATTCTAGCCAGAATAATCTTTAGGACACTATTAGTTTTGTTGATTTGTTGTTTACATGTGCGAGTTATTGTCCGATTGATTGGAGAGTCACTATTAAATAAAGGTTATTTTACATGATCATTTTGTACTGTGTTATATTGCGTATGGATATGTTTTCACAGGGCATTCACTGACCAGTTGCCCCAGTGCAGGCCAAAATCTACAAAATCAACACATCATTTTAGAGGCTGTGACCTTCATATAATTACAAAATTTTAAAGTTATATTAGACACATTGCCACTGCTTTGGTTTGAACTCCAAACATTTGATGTACCAGGAATTTTATGTCAAGTCAGCTTTCGAATTTTGTTATATTCCAAAATATAGTTGATTATGCAGTGTGATATGGAATGGAAACAGCCTAAAACACATACCAACAGAATCGATTGTACAAGAATGCCAGAACAATCGCCAGGGGCATGTATTGCAAGTCTGATAATGCATCATTCAGATACAGAAGTGGTATGAATACCATTGCATGTACTCCCTTTGTATCAGTGAGTGGTCTGTTTTTGACTCCCATGTGCGAAGCACAAAATGGGATTCTTTGCAGTTAGTGATTTGCATAATGATTAGTCAATTTTCGGTTTTTCCACTGATATCTCAAGTACTAATCATCACATTTCAATGATACTTGGTACATAGATGTCATAGGACACTGCACAGACCTAATAGTTTTTAGGGTAATGTCAGTGCATATTAATTACCTAATTTACATAATTAATTTTCAGCTTTTGATGTTTCAAGTAGCGAGCATTACATTTCAATGAAACTTGGTGTATAGATACTCAAGGACTATGCAGAGATTGATTGTTTTGGGATAAATATTTGTGCATATTAATTACCTAATTTGCATAATTAGTCAATTTTCAGCTTTTCCACAGGTATCTCAAGTACTAATTATCACATTGCAATGAAACTTAGTACATAGATCCTTTAGGACTATCCAGAGACCTGATTAGTTTTAGGGTAAATAATTGTGTATATTAATTACCTAATTTGCATAATTTATTAATTTTCTGTTTTCACACTGATTTCTCAAGTACTAATCATCACGTTTCAATGAAACTTTGTACATGGATGCTGTAAGACAATAGACAGACCTGGATAATTAGTCCCCATTCGGACGAAGTCTGAAAACGGGGACTTGTAATTCGATCTCCGTCTGGAGTCATATCTCAGAATCCCTTGGACCGATTCCGTCCATTCTTTGCAAGTGTCTAGTACTTTATGTGGGACATATGCACATGCAGTGGTTTAGCGATTTGATTCAAAATGGCCGACTGGCAGCCATCTTGTTTTTTGAAAATGTTGTATTTTGGACATGCTTTGTCAGTTTTCATTCAAACTTGGTACATAGATTATACATGTTGGGATACATGTCCCGACCGTCCGTGTGTCCGTCCATCCGTGCGTCAGTCTGTCCAGAGTCATATTTCATAATCCTGTGGACCGATTCCGTTCATTCTTTGCATGTGCCTAGTACCTTATGTGGGACATATGCACATGCAGTGGTTTAGCAATTAGAATCAAAATGGCCGACTTGCAGCCATCTTGCTCTTTGAAAATGTTGTATTTTGGACATGCTTTGTCAGTTGTCATTCAAACTTGGTCCATAGATTATACATGTTAGGATACATGTCCATGACGATTTATTTCGCAATTGGATCAAAGATGGTCGACTAGCAGGCAACTTGTTTTTTTTTTTATGCGGTATCTTGGACGTGCTCTGTCAGTTTTCATTCAAATTTGGCACATATATGTACTTTATACATGTTAGGATGCATGTCCATGACATTTTGTTTCAAAATCTGGTCAAGGATGGCCGATTGACAGCCATCTGACTTTTTGGTCTTACTACTATAATTCCACAATTTATGTACCATTTTCATTCGTATTTGGCACATGCATATCTGTGTGTTTCATAATTAGATCAAAGATGGCCGAATAACGACTGTTTTTATTTTTTTCCATTTCAATGAAACTTAGAGCAAAGATGCTCTAGGACAATGTACAAACCTGATTAGTTTGGGGTTAAAATCTGTTTATATTAATTCCCTAATTAGCATAATAATTTATAATTTTTTTGGGTTCCAATCACATTTCAATAAAACTTGGTACATAGATGGTCTGTTACATTGCGCAGACCTCATTAGTTTTCCATTAAAATCTGTTCATATTAATTTTCTGATTTGCATTATTAGTTTTCGGCTTTTCCATCACTATCACTATCTCTGACAAGTAATTTTGAATTATATTTAATGTGTCTCCAATACTCTCAGCAGATGGGAGTTTTTTCTAAGCTTTCTTTGATTTATGCATTGTCTGTGTGGACCCATAATATGACATGTACATACAACTTAACAGGAAGTCTGGCTAAATGCATCTTGTTTGGTCACATGCTTAAAGGAGACATCAATTCAAACATAATGACCCCTAAAGAAAAAGCTCCACAAATGTAGGAGATTGCAATTTACAGTTTATTTTATATCGATTTTCATTCTCTAGATATTCAATTTTATATCAGTATTATGTAGTCAGCCATCTTTATTCTCAAGCAAAGGATTATGGGTAAAATGTGACATACTGTTGTCAGAAATCTGTTGTCAGAAATTGAGAAATTTATTTCATCCAAAACATGAGAAATACTGATGTGAATCAGTTCAAATTTTCGTTGTGCATATTACTAGTGTATATAATTATAGTAATGGAAATTAGAATATTACAAATACACAAAGTGAAGATATTGCTAAAAAACGTTAAAAAAATAATCGATATTTTAGTTGTCAAATATAAAATGACACTTTTTTGTCCTCTTATGGTCAACAAGTAATATATCACCTATATAACCTACTCACATCGGTAAATTGTATACAATATAAGGAAATCTGAGCATTTGGTAGAAAAACATAAAAATAAATATTTTCAGTTCTGTATCCATGACAACTATTTTATAAACATGGATGGCACCAGTACATGTATGCTACCAATTTCTAAACTTGCAGACAATTTGAAGTTCAACTTTTGAAGTTATAGATGTCAATTTCTGACAACAGTTGATATGTCATAATCCTTAGCTTGAAAATCAAGATGGCTGACTACATAATACTGATATAAAATTGAATATCTAGAGAATGAGAAGTGACATAAAATCAGAGAAAGCTTAGAAAGAACTCTCGTGTGCTGAGAGTATTGACGACACATTAAAAATTAATACAGAATTACTTGTACCTGAGATATTGATGGAAAAGCGAAAACTAATTGTGTAAATCAGGTAACTAATATGAACAGATTTGAGTGTAAAACTAGTAAGGTCTGCATAATGTAATCTCTATGTACCAAGTTTCATTGAAATGTGATTAGAACAAAAAAAACTATGAATTATTATTAGAGAATTAATATGAAAAAATTTCAACCCAAAATGAATCGGGCCTGTCTATTGTCCTAGAGCATTTATGTACCAAATTTTATTCAAATGTATGATCAGTAATTGGGACATCAGTGTTAATTATTTTAATTAGGTGATTAATAGGCATAAATATTTACCAAAACCTAATTGGGTCTCTGCATAGTCCTAAGTTCATTGAAATGTGATGAGTACTCTTTAAAAGTTTCATTAAAAATCCAATTAGTGGTTCTTTATATATCAGTGAACCATTCATGGGAAAAAATAACTAATTATGCAATTAATATCCACAATTATTTACCCTAAAACTAATCAGGTCTCTGCATATTCCTAGAAGATCTATGTAGCAAGTCTCATTGAAATATGTTGATTAGTACTTGAGATATCGGGTGAAAAGCTGAAAATTAACTAATTATGCCAATAAGGTAATTAATATGCACAAATATTTACCCCAAAACTAATCAGGTCTCTGCACAGTCCTTAAGTAACTATGCATCAAGTTTCATTGAAATGTGATGATTACTACTTAAAATATCAAAAGCTGAAAATTAATTATGCCAATTAGGTAATTAATATGTACTGATATTACCCTAAAAACTATTAGCTCTGTGCAGTGTCCTATGATATCTATGTACCAAGTTTCATTTAAATGTGATGATTACGGTACTACTTAAAATATCAAAAGCTGAAAATCAATTAATTATGCAAATTAGGTTATTAATATGTATTGATTTTACCCTAAAAAATATTAGGTCTGTGCAGTGTCCTATGACATCCATGTACCAAGTTTCATTGAAATGTGATGATTACTACTTAGTACTTGAAATATCAAAAGCTGAAAATTAATTAATTATGCAAATTAGGTAATTAATATGTACTGATATTACCCTAAAAACTATGAGGTCTGTGCAGTGACCTATGACATCTATATACCAAGTTTTAATGAAAAGTGATGATTAGTACTTGAGATATCAGTGGAAAAGCCAAAAATTGATTAATCATTATGCAAATCAGGTAATTAATATTGCACAGATTTTTACCCAATACTTATCAAATCTGCACATTGGCTCAGAGCATCTATGCACCAAGTTTCATCAAAAATCAATGTATGGTTCTTGAGATATCAGTGGAACGGACGGAGGACGGACACACATACATACATACATACATACATACGCGCACATACAGACACACTAACTGCAAAGACTCCCATTGTGTGCTTCGCACACAGGAGTCGAAAACTGTAAATTGCATTCTCCTACATTTGTGGAGCTTTTTCTTTAAAGGTCATTATGTTGTTTGGATTGAAGTTTCCTTTAATACTGAGGATGATTTTTTTTTTCAGTTTAGTGAACCCACTGATGAGTTGTATGCATGTGTAGACAATACAATTTGTAGCAAAATGAATTGAATGTAGGAACTTGTAGCTTTCATTAATGGGAATGTATAAAAGATATTGTAGCAACGCCTAAGCTTCATAAGTGGGTGACATGAATACTTTTTATGGAGATTTTACTATATTCTAGATGACTAACAATCAAACAGTGGTTGATTTGAATGAAGTTGCATACATGTCAATTTGATGTAACAAGCGTTCACTAGAGGGTGCAACATACAAGAATGGTGTATTAAGTGAAAAACCAAATGAACAGAACAATTCTATTATTTTGCCAGGGAAAGGGGTGGTGGTAAAGTTGTGAATCGAAGTTTGGCGAAGGGTACCTTTAGACCTGCGAGAAAGATTGCTTAATTAAAGTTATTTATCACAAAGGAATTTAAAAAAACTGCAAATACAGCTCAATAATGTAGTTTTAAATCTCGCAACAGATATTGACATGTAACAAGAATTATAGTTTGAAACCGAAATCTAAGTACTCATTATTCAGACGTCAGTGGAACAGTTTAAAAACTAGATCACATGATTCAAATTTTGAGATGCATGATGAAAAATAAGACTGAGTTGAAGTTGATAAATTGTGCATCACAAACCACCTATGTACTGATTTTATATCTGTTAAATGGTTGAGGTTTGAATGGAAAATTGGCACATTATTATGCAGACCAGGTAATTGACATGCACAGATTTCAAACCTAAACTAATCAGGTATGCGGATTATCCAAAAGCATTCATGTAACAAATTTCAGTGAAACCCACTAGACCATTGTGTTCAAACTAACTAGACTTGTAGATTAGATGCAATGAAATATCTTTTACAGCAAGATATTTAGATTCAAAATGAATAATAGGTTAAGTGAAAGTAATTAAAATACTTTATTTACACAAATAGCAAAAAATGTAAATGATAATAAATTAATATACTAGTATGTCAAACAATATGTGCATCACTGTTGATAAAAAAACACAAAGATTTCACAGTATACACAAATTTTAAGAAGACTGCTATTCAGACCACATACAATGTGAAATTATGTATGCATGTAAGGCAGATTCATCAACTCAACACAAATGTGAGGTACAGTATAAGATTACAATCTTTGAACTGTTCCTAGGTATAACTGTATCTCATAAAGTAAAGGATTCAACACTGTAAAGATACATGTATTTATAACATGCATCATTTTGTTTTCAGTTTAAGTAGATGTGTGGAAACAAGCGTTTAAATTCATCTAGGTATGTCTAAGTCTTAACTCAGTAGCATTTGTATCATCACTTGGTTGTTCTGGAATAACATCCTCTACATTTTCAAAGTCACCATTACTGTCACTGCTTTTATCTGAGCCTGTTCTCTCGTGTTGACTGGCACCATCAGTAGGAAACAATGTAGCAACTGATAGTGGTGGAGCAGCTCGTCTCTGTGCTATGATCAGTGGTTCATCATTAGTTGCTATGGGAAGTGCAGGAAGATCAACCCCTGGGTGTTGAAAACAATGGTATTAAGTCACATGTTTGATAAAGTTTTTGCATGCAGTGCATTTTCATACTTGTATTGTTATTACTGCAAGAAGTAAAGAAGTAACAAGCTATTTACTACTAGTTTCCATCACAAATTCTCTCGAGAAAGACCAAAAAATGCATCATTTTAAATTAAGTTGTGTGTTTGAGATCACGCCGTGGTAAAATTGTAAGTACACCTATGAGGTATATGATAAAACCTTTTTTAGGACTGAATACAGTTTTTGCTGCCTTTGGTCATATGGCTTACGCACACTCGAAAGCTTGGGCACTTCCGACCTCCATATCCAGCCCACAAAAATTAGTGTTGATTTTCATTAACCATCTAATATTGGATTGACCCAAAAAACTAATTCATCGTTGAGAACAATACAATGCTTCTGTATCAAGTTTGAATAAACTCAGCAATTGCGTTATCAAGTTAAAGCGATCAAAGTAAGATTTTTTCAAGATTTTTTGAACTATCAGAAATTGGCTGTTTATGCATATCAGGTACATGTAATTATTATGCTTGAATTACAATTCAAAACTAATAGGTATTGTCCCCTGGCACTTATGTATCAAGGTCTTATTGAATGTAATAATTGGTTATGCAAATTATTCTGCAAATTAGGTAATTATTATGCACAGATTTTAACCCCAAACTAATCAGGTCTGTGCATTGTCCCTGTACCAAGTTTCAATGGAATGTGATTAGTTTTGATATTGGTGGAAAAGCTGTAAATTGAATACTGTAAAATACTTTTTATTTTCGCTTGGAATTTAAGTTTGTTAATTCACTGAAGGGATTCAGTGAAAATAAAATCCAGCAAATATATCTGTTCCCTATATTTTACATTCAACTCATCAAAAAAAAATAAACAAGTGAAAATAAAATCCATATAAAACACAGAAAAAGTCATTTCAGCGAAAATGAATTCCAGCTAAAATAAAGTATTTTATAGTAATTACTGTGAAATACTTTATTTTCGCTTGGAATTAATTTTAGCTATTTTCGCTGAAGGAGTGATTCAGTGAAAATAAAATCCAGCGAATATACCTTTTTCCTACATTTCACATTCAACTTGTCATAAATCAGTGAAAACAAATTCCATACAAAACACCCAAAAACACTTTTAAGCGAAAATTAATTCCAGCTAAAATAAAGTATTTCACAGTAGTATGCATTTTAGTTAATGATCCTTGACTGTGTTAGTTGGGGGCTAATAAAAGATGTTATTACCTTCTGTTGATCTTTCCAAAGCTGCTCTTCCTGTTGGTTGCCTGTCACCTGGTGCTGGACGTATGGGTCCAGGTGGTCTAGCGTAATCCATTCTTACCACTTCATGAGGAAAGTCATTCTCTCCAGAAAACCATCGGTACCAGGACAACATTACTACAGTTGCCAAGAGCATGAAGTTGGTGAAAATTGATGTAAATGCCGTGGCAGTAGGCCAATGAAACATTAGGTACCTTTAAAAAATAAAGAGGACTTTCATAAATTATTACAAGTCAGACTTACATAGGACTCTTCTTTCTTTTCAGAAAATTAAACATGTGTTACTGTGAAAGCTCCATCAACATGACCTTTAATTTCTGAGTTGTAGAAAAAAATCTTACCTTAAACCTGTGAAATGGGCTTGTAATTTGAGAGTTGTAGAGTAAATTTCAATCTTCTTTGTTTCAAATGTCACCAATGCACCAATAGCTGGTTTATACTGTATGCAAAACATATATTACTGTGTAACCTTTGGAACCTACTCTCCTAACTTTCAGATCATTACAAATGCACCATTACTATTATGTACACATGTGATTTATTTCACTATGACATTCCATGTGAAAGACGCAGATCGAACGTCTGTCCACAAATTGAATGATTTGATTTTGAACTTTAATTTAATTTTTCATAGCTCATTGTTGAAATGTAAATTTTATAGAAGTAAATAATGCATTGAGATACCCTTACTTCATCAAAATTGACAATCATCTAATGCATATATTTTTTTGCATTTTTCAAATCCCACAAGATGTTTTGATGCCATAATGACGCTATGACGTTTGTGTGTCCTGTTTTTATGTTCTCACAGTGAAATAAAATTGTCTGTTACTGTAAACTTTTAATTTTTGTCATTATTGATTCATGTCTATGATAATTTGATGGCATTTGTGGAAATTAAATTCTGCAATTGTCAGACAAATCCATATAGAAGGTGTAGAAAAGTTTTTCTTATAAATTTACCTTCCTCCTTGAAAATATTCCTGAAAATATAGCACTAAAAATTGGAAACTTTGATGATGATTGCATCCAAGATGTACATTTGGGCATACACTCGCACTCCCATGCATAGACAAGTGAAAGAGAAAAAATGGATGGATTCTGTTTAGAGAAGAACATACTTACAACATTATCTTGAAAATTCTCAAACAGCTCCACTTCGAGATTCTGTTTCTCTCGTGCAAATCCTCCAACCAACAATGGTGAGTGAAACAGAGTATCCAAGATTTTGAGAAGAAAAGATTTAAATGGTAAAATTGCCTGCAAATAAAATAAAGATTGTAAAAAATGAATCCATATGTGATGAATAAGAAAGATACTCCCATGCTAAGGAGTGCAACAAAGTAAAAGAAATTTATTTATACAAAATACATACTGGTCTGGATGAAACAGATACCACACTTCCACCATCCGTGTAAAATGATATTGTTACCATAAACATACCTAGAAGTAATTAACAATCACATTACTCCATCATGTACTTGTCTAAAGTATTTTCATTGTAAAGGTGGGTATTCACTGCAAATGTGCTAGTAATTTAGCATTGCTAGTTTAGATTGGGACTTGTATAGGCATATATTTGAGATATATTTGGTGTGTAAGACTGATGGAAGCTAACTCAAAATTAAAATCAAACATTATTTTCAAGATTTTGTGACTGACTAAAACAGGAATCCATATACTGTAATAAAACTTCTGATAATTATTACCAGTATTCAACATGCAGTCGGTTATAAATCTGGCAAGGTGTTTTGCAAATAGATACAGTGCAGTTCTTGATAAGCAGTAGGAATGTCATCTTTACATCACTCAAGACAAAATTAACATACTCACCAATATTTTCATTGACAGGAGATTGAGGCATGTCTATATCCATGAGAACTCTATAAGACTGACCCTTCATTAAAAGCTACAAGAAAATAGAAGCAATACATTCAGTATATTCTCACAGGTGTGTTGAATGTTCAGAGGATCTACTCCAGCTATTAACTCGTATACATTATGTATATTCATTCATTCATTCATTGGGGCACATGCCAGGATGGCACCTTGCTGCGCCCATCCTCTGCACCTCCTCCTTCGGTCTCCTCCGAACAAGTGTCCAAGCCCGGGCACAGCCTATGCCCCATAACTCGTTGAGAAACCCGCTCATCTGCCTCAGCCACAATGCTCTCGCCCCCCCCCTCCAGGTCATCTCCACCGGCCAGGATTCTGTGCAGAAAGAATTTGGCCGACAGGGTCGTTCCCCGGGAAGCGAGCAACGTGCCTGAAGAAGCGCAGCTTAAAGGGTATTCATTTTTTTCTAACAAAACGTAGCAAATTAGTAAATTATATTATTAATACAGTAAAAAATGTGTTTTAAATAGTTATGGTAATACGCATTCAGTTCCATGCTGGAGTACCTTCTCAAAAATATGTGGTTCATAAACATGATTTTAATACTAAATGAAACAAATCAGGTCTTGACATTAGTTCAATAATAAACCAACTGAAATGAGTTAGTCATTTTGAATCAGAACATGAAACAAATGGCAAGATGTATAATGTAGTTGTAAAGTTTGATTATGATCAATCAATGTCTGTCAGAAACATTGTTCTAGTATGTAGCATTTGCATTCAGCCATTCTGATCTAAAGTCCAATCATGTACATGTTGAATGTATGTATCGAGATGAACAATACATGTCCATGCTTCATTTTGATGCATTTTTTAACATTTAAAATTGCCAGAATTGGCCATCTTGAATCAGATCAGCAAACAAACTAATATGCATATGTGTGACATGATGTAAGATGTATCCCTTATCTGGTTAAATCAATGTAAAAATACGTAGGGCTAGCAGGATAGGGGTTAAGTAAATAAAGTTTCAATATAACTGGTCAATGCATGTCAGAGATAAAGCTTATGAACCACATTCATTCAAACAAAATGGCCTCCAGTTAATCATGTTGAATCTGAACTGAAACATGATGTCTCATAATGCCCAATATAGTTTGAACAAAATCCACCCATACACTACGGAGATCTGGTTCCTGAATAGCATAAATGAATTTTTAACATTAAAATGGCCAGCATACAGCCATCAGTCGACGCATGTTCACAATTTATGTCCATGTGGAATTTAATCTGAAAGTCTTCTTTTTTGGAATGTGTTCAATCAGAGACTAAATATACTGAATATTAGTGTGTACATTTTTAGAGTAACAATTATATTAGTGTGTGGAATAAAAATATTTATATGGACAAACAACAGATGTTATGCAGCACTGTCACATACAACATGCCATATAAATATACTATATACTAGAATACCTGCTGTCCTTGATGTTCAGGGGGAACCAGTGTAACATTGGCAGTGGGATAATATGAACATGGTATACTACTTCCAGTTATACTCCCTGCTGCCTCACATTCTCTAAAAACAAATATTCAAATAGTGCATTTTATTTCCAGAAATATTCACTGTGGTCAATTTTGGTGTATTCGGTGTTGCAGGGATATTCACAAGATTTTAAATTCACTAATTTGTAAAAGAAACAATAAATTCTTGATATTTCTTTGTATATTCACTGGGTTTTAATTTAGAAAATTTCGCTATCAGCGAAAATTAAACCCAGCAAATAATTAAGCCCTATACAGTATAATTGTTAGAATGAATACTAAAAGTTATCATATACTTTCTATCACAACAAATGGGAGCCCATCAAAGTAACAAGAAACCCAACAAGAAAACAAGGAACCCAGACACAATCAAAAGTTGCTCGTAGTCAAGCTCTCTCTCTCTCTGAAGAAACCCATAGTAGCATTGGCACTTTTGATAATTGAGAAATAAATGTACATTGCATCACAAGGCATATCACAATATGAAGATGTATATTCGGTATCAGACGATACAAATGCTCGATTTGAACGAATTTTCAGTAAATATAAAATCATTGTAACAACTATGCAAACGGGCTTCATGGCAAGTAAACTAGAAGCCTATGGAATAATTCTGGAAACACCGGCTACTGCTAATTCGACGACTGCAATCTGGCTTATTATTGTGATGAAAACAATGTGTCTCACCTGAATTGAAGGTAGACTGGTCGTTCGTGTGCCGAAGTAGGCATATACGCATAATAAAAACTACCATACAGAAACACAGAAATCCACAAGAGCAACAAAAAGACCAAGGATAGAAATACTATCCTGAGGGTCACGCTTTTTGTCCAAATGTACCAGGTTCCTGCGGTGGCACCAACATTTCTCACAGCAGACGTCAACATTTTGGGCTAACTTCAAAATAGTAAACGAACAAACAAACATGAACGGAGTATTGACGTTGAGGGCGCTGGTAATCCTGGAATCAGAATAGTAAAAACGTATTGTACCAGTACACTCAATATAATCTTTATGTTGTTGTGCGTTTTATTTATTTAGGTTTACTATTATTTTCTTTCTTTCTCTGTTTTGTAATTTTAGAGACCTTGCTGCTGCTAAATAAAAAAAAATGTGTACCGATAATCAGAGATCAACAACTTGCAAAGAAAGGTGTACATCTTTGTGCAGATCAGAGTAAATGTAGACATTTACAAACTTTAATGCTCTCATACATGTATTGTGATCTAGACGAGACAAGTTGTTGTATGTGTATGGTATACATAACGATTAGTAATTCCATTCTATTTAAACACACAAGTGTAACCGAATACAAAATACATGAAATTAAAAGAAATTGCCAAATTTCACTGAGAAACTAATTGGGTTCCTCACCAAGAAAAATTTGCAAAAATAAGAGAAAACACTGACTTTCTCAGATGTTTGCATCCCAGGGTGATGTTTTGTTAGTTATATGCAAAAACAAAACATCACCTTGAGATACACATGACTAAATTACACCATGGTGTCAACAACTATTTTGCCTTTTGTATTTTGAGACTATCATATGTCAAGTGAAACATGGCTTAGATTTTGTCTTCCTTTATGTCATCATCAGTATTTACTGAATAAACCTGATATACAATGTAGTAATTCTCAATTCACCGAATGTACTGCAATACAGACTCACCATTGGGTATCGGACGTATTTGAAAAATAATATCTGAAATTTTTAATAGATGAAACAAACATCATAGAACATTTAATTCATATTAAAAAAATAACTTTTATTATCAGGAAAAAAAATATATAAATTGGTAAAAATACAAATTAATGTCACATTAATCGACATGAATAAATAAAGTTTGATTTAAAAATATTTCGTTTTGGTTCCTCTTCTTGGTTTTCTGCTTTTGTAAAGACAATAGAGTGACGAGGATACGATACCAACACAGTACCCAATAAATGCCCCAATAACACATGAAATAGGCCACTCCTACAAATGAAACAATAAACATAGTTAAACTCTGGTGACCTTGCCCTTTGTTATCATAATGTTATTTCTATTTGTTTCAACAGGAATATGCATTGTCATAATTAATTTTTGAATACAAACAAGTTTTAAGATTGAAACAGCAGTGGGAAAGCAGTCTACCAAAAGTCCTTGTTTAATGTAAATATACTGATGTAAAAAAAATTGGTGTCTAATTTGATGAGAATTATTTTAAGGGACATAATTTTCAGTTGGCTGAAGAGGAAAAAAAATGTAGTCGTATGCATTGTTTTATTCATTCATAGCACTATATATTGGGG